AAAAAAAAAAACCCTAAACAAATAGAAAGACATCCATGTTCATGGATCAGAAGACTTAATATTGTTAAGATGGCAATAGTATCCAACCAAACTGATCTACAGATTCAATGCAATCCCTGTCAAAATCTCAAATGGTGCTCTCTGTGTGTGTGTGTGTGTGTGTGTGTGTGTGTGCAGAAACTGACAAGCTGATCCTAAAATCCATATGAAAATTCAAGGGACTCAAAATAGCCAAAGTGATCTTGAAAAAGAACAAAGTTAGAGAACTCATACTTCTTAATTTCAAAACTTAACACAACTCTACAGCAATCAAAACAACAGTGGTACTAACATAAAAATAGACATATAGTATAATGGAATAGAATTCAGCGTCCAGAAATACACTGTTACGTTTCAAGCCAATTCATTTTTGACAAAGGTGTCAAGACAATTCAATGGGGGAAAGATCAGTTTTTTCAACAAATGGTGCTGGGACAGCACACCACATGCAAAAGAATGAAGTTAGACCCTTTCCTCATACGGCATACAAAAATCAACCATAAATAGTTACATGCAAGAGCTAAATGCAAGAGCTAAAACTACAAAACACTCAAGAAAACAGAGGAGTAGATCTTTGTGACTTTGGATTAAGCAGTCGTTTCTTAAATATGATACCAAAAGAATGAGTGGCAAAAGAAAGAATAGGTGAATTGGATTCATCAAAATGAACAGCTTCTGTTTCAAAGGATACCATCAAGAAAGTAAGATGACCCTCAGAATGGGAGAGAATATTTGCAAATCATATACCTGATGAGGGACTTGTATTCAGAATATATAAATAACTCTTACAACTCAATAATAAAAAGACAAATTCTATTTGACATAAAGGGCAGGAAATTTGAGTAGAAATTTCTCTCATGTGCCAATATGCACATGAAAAGATGTTCAGTGTCATTACTAATTAGAGAAATGCACATCAAAACCACAACAAGATACCATGTCACTCCTAATAGGATGGCAAAAATAAAAAAGAGACAATAACAAGTGCTAGTAAAACTCCAAACGTATGTCCTTGCGAAAACCTGCACATGGATGTTCATAGCAGCATTATTTATAATAGCCAAAAAGTAAAAACAACCTAGTGTCTGTCAACTGAAGAATGAATAAACAAAATGTGGTATATCCATATACTGAAGTATTCATCAGTAAAAAGGAATGAAGTACTGATACACGCTACAACATGGATGAAACTTGAAAACACGCTAAGTGAAAAAATCCACATATAAAAGTCCATATGTTGAATGATTCCATTTATGTGAAGTGTCCAGAAAAGGCAAATCTATAAGCCATAAAGTAGATTACTGTTTTTTAGGGACTGAGGGAACAGGGGGGCATGGGGACTGACTGCTAATGGGTATAGGATTTCCTTTGAAAATGATGAAAATGTTCTGGAATTAGATAGTGGTGATGGTTGCATGATCTTGTGAATTACATACTTTAAAGGAGTAAATTTTATGTTATGCGAATTATATCTCAAAAACAACCTACGAAATCTGGGGAGGGGGGAAAGGGGGTATGCATTGTTTGTTACCTTTTGTAGAAAAAAGAAGGGACAAATGTCTCTGTTGACTTTTACAAAAAGAAATGCAGGAAGAGTAAAACAGAAAACAAATAAAATCATATCTCTACAAAGGGTAGGGGTAGAAGTACAATATTTTCTGTTGGATGATTCTAACTAGTCAATGTTACAGAGTTACATACAAAGAGAAAAACTGTTAGCAAATCACGAGAAATTAAGAGACCCTGTAAAGATTTGGTCATGTGTTGACTCACATTAGGAAAAAAAAGGAAAGAAGGGAAAGAGGGAAGGAGAGAAGATAAAAAGATAGACAAGAAGGGGAAGAAGGAAGAAAGAGAAGGAGGGAAGGGGAGAAGGGGAGGAAGAAAAGAAGGGAAGAGAGAAGGGGACAGGCTAGGAATGGAAGGGGTATCCTAGCATTAGCTGGCACATAGTAGCATGCCTCAGGGTTCTCTATCTTACAAGCTGACCTTCACATCAGCAGAACAGCCCCATCGGGACGTGTGATAGAAGGATGCCTGTTGGACAGCCACCATCAAAGCATTTTTCTGAGCAGCTTGGCATGCAAGGGTCACTTGCATGTTTTCCACTCCTGAATGGAATAAGAGCTAAAGGAAGAAAATGTGAAATATTAGGAATTTCTGCCATAAAGCAAGAGGTGAAGTTGAGGGTTTGAGATCAACACTTATTTAACATGTAAACATATGAATCCAACTGACGGATGTGCTGAGATCCTTGTTCCTCAGACATGGGACTGAACCTAGTCTCTCTCTAAGCACCATTTCATCCCATGAAGGCAGCCTGCAGGCCTGATTTGCTCTATAGCTGGACACCATCAGGTTTCGGGTCAGAAAAGGATGAGTAGGTTCTGATGAACTAGCAAACATGTGCTCAGTGGCAAACTTTTAAAACTTCCAAAATTAGATTAATGTTTAAAACACACACATGCAAATACAAACCTACACATACTCACACAGAAGCAAAGAAATCCATCTGAATGGAAGGGGGAAAAAAACAGCACCAAGTTCAAGAAGATCAAATAAAATCTCCAATAACATGTACATATTTTAAAAATTTGGTACAAAGATGGTTCACTACATGTGCTTCTTTAAGATAGCTAGCAGTGGTTATTGCATTGGGTGTTGCAGTCTCTATGGTTTAAACCAGGCCAATGTGCACATCAAATAAGGTAAGGCTAGAAGCTTTTCTTACACAGGGGAGCTGAACTTATATAAATTAAATATTATTTTCTTTCAAGAAATACATGAGCAAATTGTTTAACTTTAGTTTCTTTAAAAACAGTAATTTACCTTAAGGATGGCTTCCTTTGTATAAAAGCTAAACTTGCCAACCTGGTTATCATCCACCTCAGAGATGGCTAACACAAGAGTAGTAGGACAATATCTGCAAGAAGAAACATGACATTGTCTTGATGTACCATGATTTAGTGAAGAGATGCCCATTCTGATGGGACCGCATGGCATGTGATCAGTTCTAGGTGATCCGAGTGCAGATGTTATACAAGACTTGATATTTCTGCCCAAAGACCGAAGGGCTCAGAGGTCTTTTCAGTCCTTACTGGACTTGATCTCCTTTCAGTTTCATTGTGGTGACCACCTACTCCAAATTCTTTTCTGTTGATCCCCATTCCACTGTTTTATCCTGTTTCTGTTCTTACCTTCGACCTCATGTCCTCAGCCTCTTCACTGACTTGAACCCTTTCCTCCACTCCCTAAAGGCTTTCCAGTTCTTGCTCTCTTCCATTGCCCCAACAATCATCTAAATGTTCTTTGCAACCATGTTTATGCCTTGGGATATGGTCCTTTGTCCATACCTATGAGGCTTTGTTGAGTAATTTAATACCTATGAATCTTAGTTTCTTCATCTGTAAATGGAGATATCACCTATCTCATAGGGTTATGGCAAATATTAAGTGGGATAATATGAACAAATGTGCTTTTTAAAATGTAAGTCACTATGCTCATGTTTGATATATGTTGTTATAACATCACTCCAAAGTGGCAACTCTAAGGAGTTAACATACATAAAATAAATGCAAACTCAAGAGACAAGATCCTTGGGTGCATAAACCTTCCCCTGGTAATTCAGAAGGCTCCTCAGATCTTGCAAGATCTTTGGGTCATTGTTGCGAGAACCAGTCACAGCTTGGCCAGGCCACAGATCATTTGGGCACTTTCTGGTAATTGGTTGATTCCACTTGAACAAAAATATGCCCTATTTTACATCAGTGTAAAATACCAGCTCCTGCAGGAGGCCCGTAAAGACCCAGAGAATAACTTGGCTCAAGGTTGGAGATCCAGCCTCACCTGAGGCCTGCTCACACTTCCTGCCTTCAGTTTCTGTGAGACATTTCTACATACTTATGACAAATTGTTTTTGTTTAGCTAGCATGACAGGATAGAGCAAGAAATATTTTGCCTCCAGGGGACATTTGGCAATGTCTGGAGACATTTTTGGTTGTTATAAAAGGGGAGAAGGGGTACTACTGGCATCTGGTAGGTCAGGGATGCTGATAAACAACCTCTGATACACAGGACAGCCCCCTACAAGAGTTATCCAGCCTCAAGTTTCAATAATGGCAAGGTTGAGAAATTCTGGGATACCATATTCTGTCATCCTAACCCAGCCCAGGGTCTCTTTGGAGAAGAGGAGACCTTTAACATATCAACACGACAAAGTTAAATTTTGACAAGTGATCCACACTAGCAAAATAAAGGTGACTTTTCCTCCTTGGAATCAACTTTGCTTTCCTGTGGGGGGGGGGGGGTGGGCAGTACCACGAATCTCCAGGGATAGAAAGAAAGGACCCTCAGGGGAAGGGCAGACTAGAAAAGAAGGAAAGAAGAGGGAGACAGACGTTTCTCCTCAGCACATATCAAAGGCTGATCCTGCATGGAAGAAAAAGATTCCTCTCCCCGACTTATAGACTCATGATCTGTTACTAGTAGGAGTGTTCTCTTTCTGGCAATGGGCTGAACATATGGGGCATGAAGAAGTTTCAAGGGTTTGAGTCCACTTCTGTTGCTGGTCAACAAAAGAATCTGACTGAGATACTGCCATACATGTTAGATTTGTACATTGTGTTAGAGTTTCAAGGAAAAAGCTGTTAAAAAAATTTAACTGACTTCTTCCTGGTCCCAGGGAAAGTGAGAGAAGGGATCTGGACTTCTGATCCATGGTTCTTGCCCCATGAGACAAACTCTCACACCCCTTTCTACCTAGAAGCAACACAGTCAACCTGTGCTGCTGAGTCTGTGATCTTATCTCATTTGAGCTCCCTGATCCGATTCTTCCATTACTTGCTGTTTTTAAATTCAATTATCCCCCTTCATTGAGTTCTTCCCCTGCCTTATTAAAAAAGGAAAGAAAGAAAAAGGAAAAAAGAATGGCATCATAATAGATAGAATATAAGAGGGGGGATTTAGAAATACAATTGCATTTGTGAGTCCAGTGGTGGTAGAAATTATTTTTCACTGGCCATTCATTCTACCATTACATTATTTTTACTTGGACCTTCTCAAGGCTCACCTGTCCACTCGATCACTGTCCTCCAGCAGAGAGGTGATAAAAACAGGAGGTGGATGGTCCACTTTGTCCTTGTGTGATGCAAATTCAAAATGAACAGGCCTCAGATACAAATGGTACTCTTCAAAACCCATCTCCCATGCCAGTTCCTTATAGAGACTAAAGGGGGGAGGATAAAGAGCCAAGAGCATTTGCTATTATTTTCCACTAGAAGGAAAGTAAGTGGTAAGAAAACCCAAAAAATCTGAATAAGCACAAAAGCAAAAGTCAAAACAATAGTAAGCCAAGTCCAGAATGAAGTCAATGAGTCACAAAGGTCTTGTGTCTACTCTACACTATGACAGTTAAAAATAGCAGTTAAAGTAGGAGGAGATGTGCTTGGACACTTCCTCAACTCTCATTTCCTGCTGGCTTCTATCCTCAGAGCCCTCATGAGGTCACCAATACTGCTTTCAATACAAGGTTCACTATTTTCTCTCAGAACACTTCACAGCTGGTCTTTGTCCTCTCCTCAAGGAACATCTTTGTTCCTTTGGATCCAGGATCTCCATGCTCCCACCTCATGACCACTATCTCTCAGTCCGCACTGGCTTCTCTTCCTCTTCATTTTCAAATTCTAGTATTTCCTGGGGTTCCAAACCCGGTCCTCTTCTCCTCTTCTCTGTCCCCTTCTTGGGGAGTTTGTCTTCCAACTACATGGCCTAATGATAGCCCCCTAGTATAAGAGCCTATGACCATACCTCTGTCCTATCCCAACTCTGAGCTCTACTCCCACATTTACATGGCTTGCAGCAAGGCTCCATTCAGATGCACCTCTGGCATTTCAGCCTTAAGAGTCTAGAATGTCTTCCACTCCTCTCTCACCCACATCCTCACACATTTCTCCATTTTCAGAAATTGGTGCATTAAGGCTGAACTCAAAAGGCACCTACATTAATTTGCTAGGTTGATGTACCAAAGTACTATAGACAGAAATTTGTCTCTCAGTTCTGGAGGTTGGAAGTCTGAGATCAAGGTATTAGCAGGGTTCGTTCCTTCTGAGGGCCATGAGGGAAGGATCTGTTCCAGGCCTTTCTCCTTAGTTTATAGATGGCCACATTCTGCTTGTGTCTTCACATCATCTTCCTTCTCTGTGTGTGTCTGTGTCCAAGTCTTCTCCTCTTATAAGAAATACCAGTCATATTGGATGAGGGCCCACTCTAATAATTTCATTTTAAATTGACTCCCTCTGTAAAGACCCTACCTCCAAATGAGGTCACAATCTGATGTATTGGGACTGAGGACTTGGACATATGAACCTGCCAGAGGACACAGTTTGTTCCTCAATAGTGCCTCTGTTATGAAGCTTTCCTTGACCCGCTTACAAAGAATGAAACACTCCATTTTCTGAGTTCCCATAGTATTTTGGTTATATGACTAAAATAGCATATTAAACTATAGTAGAAGTAACTTTTAAATTGTGAGATCCCTGAGATCAAGGATCAAAGATTATGAGGAGGTAGTATCATAAAGGTTAATAAACATCTTGACTCATGGTTCGAATTCTGTTTCTACTACTTTCTAGGTATGTGATCTTAGGCAAATAGCTTACCTTTCTGAGCCTCCACTTCCTTGCTGGTAAAATATTAGTAAGCTACTTATTAAGAATATTCTGGAAATTAAATGAATGAGTACACATAAAGTCCCCAGCACAGACCCTGGCCATAGCAGGCCCTTGGTAATGGTTTGTGGTAGATGACTGCACTCTTCAGGTATATAGGGACTCTCGTGGGGGACTAGAACACAAGGGAACTCATACATGTTTGCAACAAACCCTTTAATTCCATATTTTTCCTGCTTATGGAACATGTCCACTTGGATGTCTTTGCATCACTTCACACTCATACCTAAAACCTAACTCATTTATCTCTCTCTCTCTCCACCCCCTCACCCCCACCTGCTTAACCTTCCAAACCTCTGTAAGGCCTGGATACTGTCACTAACTCATCCCTCTCCTTTCTCTAATCCTTCTATTGCTTCTGCTCTGCTATTCAACTTCATCATAGTTAAGAGCAAATCCAGTAAATACTTGTTGAGTATAAGTCAGGTCTCATACCAGGTGATGGGACACCATGGAAACCGACATGGACAGTGCTTTTGCAATCAGGGAGCTTACACTAGCAGGAAAACTGATAAACCAGTATTAAGCATCTAACTGAAAGGCAATGTGCTGAATAGAGAGGAAGCCCAGGTCTAGGAGGAAGGCCTAGCCTAGCTGAGTGGTCAGAGAGCCATGAGGGGGAGGCCTGGGTGGAGAATGAAAAAGTGGGGAAGGTGGTCATTTCAGCCATTTAGAAAGCTTGCTTTGACTGCTCTGGGGCACAGAGGGAGCAAGGCTTGTAGGCAGGGACACCTATGGTCTGTTCTCCCCCATCTGGATCCTCAGTCCCCCTACTGACCGAGCTAAGTGTACACTCTCCAGACTCATTTCTATCAGCCGGTGGCGGAGGGTCACAAGTTCCAGAAGTTTGGAAAATGTCTCCAGGAGCAGCATGTGAGAATCTTGGCTTTGGTTCTGTCCTTCGTCTGCTGCGGACTTGAGTGCAAGCAGACCTATCTCCTCCATGAGAAAGGGATCTCCCATTACTTTAGCTGAAAACAGCTGAAAGAAAATACTTTTTAAAGTATAAAAAAAGAAATTTCACATATTAAGAAAAAACACTCTCAGTGGCACAGACTCTGAATCCAGATTTCCTGGACTCAAGTCCTTGCTCTGCCACTGAAAAGCTACAAAATTTTGCTATTTCTCAGTTTCCTCATCTGTAAAGGATGGATAAGAATAATAACAATACCTAAGAGGAACAAGTAGACAATAATTACCTAAATAGGTTATTGAGAGAGTTCATTGACTTAATATATACAAAAGTGCCTGGTACATAGTATTTGCTGTTATCATTATTATAAATATTTTAAGCCAAAATAAAGAATAGAAGTAGGAATCTGATGTTTTCCAAGTATTTTAGAAGCCAATAATAAGAATAATTTCCTATAAACTCTTCTAAGTGCAATTTCAAAATTTCGAAGTGTTTTCGTGTACATGAACTCAAGATCCCCATGAAGTAGGAGTCACAGATACCATCATTTCCATTTTATTAGTGAGAAATCTGAAGCAACCCTGAAACTTTCCAAGGTCACACAGCAGTACCAAGAATAAACTTACACTTCCTAACTCCAGTCCAGTAGTTTTATAGTATTGCTAAACTGCCTTTACATGTTCCGGGCAATTTTTGAAATAACCTCCTTGCTCTTTACAGCCCTCCTGCCACGGGGGGCTCCTCTGCTCTGACATCGTTGCTACACCCTCGTATACCATTCCCAGCAAGGACCCAGTTTGGGGACCCCCAAATCTGCCTTTGCTGGCTTGGCTCCTTTATCTACCTTTTCTGCCTTATCTCCCTTATCTGCCTTTTCTATCACAGATTCCTTTATCTCTCCACTGATCCACCAAAGGCCTTTTCTACTTGACGATGCAATTTCTAGATTCTTGAAGTCTTCCAAAGTGATAAAAATTTTTTATTAAACTAATTCCTATTAGAAACTCATTTCTAAGGACAATGTCTCCCCCATTTTTTGGCCTAATACAAAAGATTAATCTGAGTATTTAACATTTCTAGATCCAAATTTGAACACATTTCAAAAGTAAGAATAATTAAAACTGCATATGGCATCAATGGGAAATTAGGGAGGTATCTCAAATACTCACTGTGAGTTATAAGAGAATTTAAAATACATTAAAAAAATCTGGTAACATAATACAATGTGAAAAGAATCTGCAGTAAATGGTAATAGATACATGACTGGTAATTTGGGGGAAAATTCAAATTTTTTTAATATTTATTTATTTTTGAGAGACAGAGCGAGCAAGCAGGGGAGGGGCAGAGAGAGAGGGAGACATAGACTCTGAAGCAGGCTCCGGGTTCTGAGCTGTCAGCACAGAGCCCAAAGCAGGGCTTGAACTCACGAATCACAAGATCATGACCTGAGCCGAAGCTGGATGCTTGACTGACTGAGCCACCCAAGTGCCCCAGGAAAAATTCAATTTTGAGCCATCTTCATACCCGTCTCTTTCTCTTTCTCTCTCCCTCCAGGTGGAATACTAAAGAAGTTAAATATTTTTAAAATAAAATAAAGACTTAAGAAATTAGAATAAAGTAAGACAAATATAAAACATGTGGAAGATGATTTGCTTTCTGGATTTAGGAAGATAAAAGAAATCACAAAGGAAAAGATCAACAGATTTTACTCTATGAAAATAAAACAGAAAAAGATAAATTGGGAGAAATATTTGCAGAAAATATCATGGACAAAGGGTTAAATTTTTTATTGAAGAGAGCTCATGGAAGTAAATAGGAATGACATTAGGATTCTAAGAGATAAATAAAAGGAAAGACAGAAGATTCACAAAAAAATACAACTTGTAACAAGACATTTGGAAGGATATTTAGTCTCAACAAATACCAAGGAAATGCAAATTAACAAGGCAATGCCACCTGTTTTATACATATATATAAAGCATATGTCTGTATATATGCTTTATATATAAATACATGCATATACATATATATATTATTTATATACACACACACACACAGACATATGCTTATACCTAATACTGTACAGTGTGGCAGAATTAGTACTCTTACAAATTGTTGGTGGCATTATAATTTGTCCCAACTCTTTTGAGAAGCAATCTGCCAACTTGCATCCAAAGACTTAAATTTTGTTTCAGTAATTCCACTCCTAAGAATCTATCAAAGGAACTGATTTAAAATATAGAAAAATCTGTAAGTATGGAAACATACATTATAACAATTTTAATACCAATGAAAAATTAGAAATTACTTGAATGTCCAACAATAAGGAAAGAGGTGGAAAAGTTATGATCATCCTTTAAGGGAATTATAACCATAAAGGTGAGTATAAAGACTAGTTAGCAAAATGGAAAAACATATAATACAATGTTAACTGAGAAAAACAGTGTATTAAGTGTATGAAAAGCAGTGGATGAAGGATGTGATTATAACTATGTAAAATACGCATATGAAGAATGCTTGAATTCAGAAAAGTATTGTGAATGCATTTGAGTGATTATATTTAGGGTAATTTTTTTCTTTTGCTTTTTTCATTTGCTAAAATTCTGTATTACATTATTTTGATCGATTTAAAATGAATTAAAATAAAATAAAATTTTAGTTTAGGAGGGAATAGGAGGTCAAGGCAGATGCATGGAAGAGAGATTTTTGGTAGCTGAAAGTTCCTTCATCATACACCATGTACCCACACAGAGTAAGGTCAGATTGGAAATATAGGTTCCACTGTGCTGGCCTTAACAGAAAAAGAAGAGAATTAAAATCTAACTACAAATACTAAGTAAATCATTAGGCCATAGTTTGAACCATAGAGTTCTAAGCTGAAAGGGGCTTTAGAGACCATCAGGCTCACTTCCATCTCCCTCCCCTCAAATACACAAACATAAGGTTACAAAATAGGAAAAAGAAGCTCAGGGAGGCTCAAAGACTTTCTCAGAGTCACACAGCAAGTTAATGGCAGGGCAGAACTTGAGTCCAGGTCCCTGTCTCCTCACTCAGCCACTCTCTCTCTCATACCAGATCTCAGGTCAGGACAAAAAGAGGGAATTTCAGGAAGAGCTTTAGTGCAAATAAAATACATAGCTTTTAAATTAAAAATGTGTATTGTTGAAATATAAATAATCCAGAAAACATCTCCCACATACGTATGTATATCTCCCTTCTAACTGTAGCAGTATTTTGATAAAATAGAAACTTTGACCGAAAATGAAAAAACCATTACATAAAAATGTTGGCAAAGCCCAGCACTATGATCTGTCTCTGGCCAAATAGGGGAGGAATAGAGCCAAACAGAAAAACAAAGTTAAGTAGTAACATCTGCCTGGAAACATTCCCTTGGCCAAGGAGCTCCCCCATCTCCCCTTTCGGAGAACCTACATCTTTGTGGAGACGTGTGCTGTACCAGGACTCAGGCTGGGCCGGTGTGAGCCACATATCCAGGGCCAGCTGCAGCACGCGTCTCTCCAGCAAGGTGAGGCTGCTGGCTGATGTGGGTCTGCAGGTGTGACGGGCCTCCTGGAGAAGGTGATCAAGAGATCGGGGGATGAGCGATGCCAGGCCCAGGGAAGGGTGGAACTCCAGCAGATACATGTTTTTCAAAGACGGGCTTGAAAAGAGGATGGATCAATGACAATTTTACACAGTGAAGAACTTGATCTGTTTCAAAAGACATTTGAATTTTACATTTTTTAAGACCAATAAAACAGCTGTTTTAATCCAGGACATTATAAAAAATTGGAAGCTTAAAGGGGCCTCAGAGGCCATCCAGGGAAGCCACCAGATTATGCAACATGCCCTTTGCTTTAATGTGAACCCTTTTAAAATTGGGAGCCATAAGAATTTATTCTAAAAGCCCAATCTGATTCTTAAACTGTATATGGCAAACCTATAAACATTCCAGTAATAACATTTAGTCAAATATCTGAAAACAAAATAACTTATCAGTGACTAAATATTAAATACATAATTTCCATAATTGCTTTCTATTTTTCTACCTGAGTCTTTATCCTTTTCCCTGAAAATGTTAATGAACAAAGACACATTTTAAATTCTGTACACAACTGCTAGAATCATTCACGTTTGCCATAAGAAGGTTCTATTTTATAAATGGATGAAGCCAGAAATAACAAAGTGCTTGTCTGTGGGTATTCCTTTGAAAATAGAGGATACAGCACAAGTCAAGGGCCTTTCTATACCTATATAGAACTAAAGAACATAAATACTTCTTAAATCTATGCAAATGGGATTCCTCTTAGTTCTAGATCTTAGTTATAGATCTTCTAGATCCACCCTAGGGCTGGAAAGGAATTTCATCAAGCAAATAACATTTGCTTTTGAGACTGTTCTGACAGGTCTTGGTATCCATACAGCCCTAGCATGTTCCGCCAAGAACCATTTCCTCAACAGTAGATTCTTGCCATAGCGAGCCGCACACAGACAGCTGATGTCTCAATCTTATGACAGAGAAGAAATCAGTCCTTAGAAAGGTCTGTGGAGAAAATGCAGTCTTGTGCCTGGAACTCCCAGGGCTCTTTCTCAAGGGATAAGGTTAGAATCTAAGCTACGAGGGACACCAGGGTGGCTCAGTCGGTTAAGTGTCTGACTTCAGCTCAGGTCATGATCTCACGGTTCATGAATTCGAGCCCCGCATCGGGCCGACAGTTCAGAGCCTGGAGCCTGCTTCAGATTTTGTGTCTCCCTCTCTCTCTGCCCCTCCCCTGCTCATGATCTGTGCCTCTCTCTCTCTCAAAAAAGGAATAAACAATTAAAAAAAAACAAGAATCTAAGCTACGAAATCCCACGGCATCCTGCTACTCCCCAAGAAGATACCATAGCCCATTGCGGCCATATCCTAGTGAAAGTGCGCCTGTACTGCTGACCTGTGCACTTGATGGGAGCACAGGGCCATGCCTCTATTGTTCACAACTGTGTCCTCACCTCCTTGCACAGTGCCCGGTACTTGTAGGTGGCTCAGCAGATATTTGTGACATGTTGAAAGGAGCTGGATGATTTCTCCACCCATTTGAAGGCAATAGAGATTGTGATCATGGGCCATACAGACCAACTTGGGGCTTGCAACCCACTTCCTGATTCCCTTACCACTCTCAAAGGCAAGGAAGGAATGGCGGGGAGGGGGTGGCTCAAACTGCATGCATGTCATGGGGGTATACCTTCTCTGAGTGATCTTAGGAAATTTAGTTTGCTCCTTAAAGGGGTAGAGGATCACAAGGCGAGTTTGCAGAAATGGTGACACTTACTAAAGAAATTCCTTTTTGAGAAACTTTTAAGCACACCCAAGTTTCATGCATGTCCGCTTGTGTGGCACCTCTGAATAAGTCCTCTGATGGCATTTTTAAGAACAACTTCTTTCTTTCTTATAGAGCTTCTCAAGAGAATAAAGATTCTGCACCCAGTGTTTTAACTTTTAAATTCTAGCCTCCTATTCTTTATTACTTACAAAGCAAATGGGTATTGAGTACGCAAGAAAATCCCTCTTCTGTGGCTTTTATATCTACTTGTCTCATCTCCCCAGACACTTGAAAGGTACTTTATAGAATAGTATTTAGACTTACCATCATACCCTTTAACTTATCTAAAAGATTAAATGTAAAATGTCTAAAGACAATAGCACCATACCAGCTATTGTTGATGGAAATAAGTTGTTTGCAAATTATGTTAAGGGGAAGTCCAAAGTTACTGCTATCATCTGGATGGCCTCTTTGCCAAAGCCTCTGGACATACTCCCGCTGGCGCTCTATCTAGAAATGTAACATAAAAGTTAAAATTAGAAAACTTAAACTTTCCCATGGGTGTGAATTATGAGCCCTGGCATGAGAAGAACAGCAGTCCTTTGCGTCCCTTCATTATTTGACTGATTTTCACCCAGACATGGTTTTGAGGATCCATTCACACGAAGACATGCTGGTGTCTCAGTCTGAGCCTGGGATCAGGCAATAAAAAAAAGGCAACCAAGTTCAGACAATCTTAAGAGGCCCAGGAAAACTTCTCTTTGTCAAATGATTGACTACAAGGAAAAAAAATCTAACCAGGTCTCAGGTAAATGCACTGCAACAATTTATCCCTTGCTTACTTCCTGCCACTGGCTTTTCCCCAGAGGATGTACACTAATTTTTCCTTTAGTGTCCTAAAAATAGCCACAGCATTAAAAACAAATTAATAAACACAACTTTATACATTAATGGCTTGTAAAGGGGTATGTTTAGTCCTCCTTTCAGTACCAATAAACGTCATCATCTAGTGAAAATAACTTGTCTATTCTTTGCAGACCATTAAATGTAATTAGGGTTGGAAACTTCCATTTAAGACTGTAGTTATGCTTGGAATTCAACAATGCAAATGAGCTTACAAATAAACATGCTCAACGTGCTGCCCTAGAAAACCTGGATTCTGAACCTGCAATGAAAGGAAAACACTTTCTCACATGTACTATTTTAAAATCCAAATGTACTTACGTGCTGATTGAGGATGCCCCTCACCAGCTGCAAGTGAAGCCTCAGGCAGGTGCATTCATCTTTGTAGGCCTTAATGAAATAAGGGTGGCTGAAATCAAACCTTGGGCACCTGTGCATGATGTCAGTGATCACTTGTGCTAAGGCAAACCTCTCCTCGGGGTCCAACACGTGCTGGTAGGCCTCAAAGTAACTGTCAAGAAGCTGCAAATAAGGTTTCTAGTCAGGGAACAGCAGAGGCAGCCGTAGGGCCCAGCAAAGAGAGGTGAGGCCCCACCCACTCCATGCTTTGGAAAGCCCCGGGGCATCAGCAGGGGAGAAACCGCTCAGAACCTTGGGGTACCGCGGGGTACCCCGGCCTGGTTCGGGCAGCTGCAGCACCAAAGCGACTCAGAGCAATTAGTAAACCCACAGAGGGAGGGAGGGCAAAGGAAGGGACACTAGTTTTGCCTGTGTCCCCTCTTCCCCTACTCTCCACAAATAAAAGGAGCCTTAAATAATGAATAATATAACATGTGATAATGATAAGCTCTAATGAGACGGTGCATGCAATGTCACTCCATCAAATATATTTGTCTGTAACACCTTTCTCCACAGGCTCATTCTCCTGCCTCCATTTT